AGTAACAAATAAATACTCGATTAACTTGAAAACATATGCGAAATCAAAGTAAAACCGACAACTAACTAATACGATATTATAACGATACTAAACAATATGTATGTGTGTACTTAACCCGCAATACGGGACAGGGCAAGCGAAGATCATTCTGACTTGACGAGAACTAGACGAATAGCCGTTGACCGCCCTGTCGATTTAATGTACTAAAGAATAATGAAACCACATTTAATATACGCAACTCTAGATCCCCACAATCCAAACAGTTGCGAACCTCGAGGTTTTTGTTCTGCTTTAATAACCTGATATAATTGAGATTTGTTTGTATTATCTAAGTAAAAACAACAAGGAAGCGTGTGCCAAATGTACATATGTAGGAAAGTGGTCAGGTCAAAAATGAATCGCATCGGGGTCACCAAATCCAGACATCAATACATAATTGTTATTATTTAATAGTATGTTTCATTTATCTTTGGAGATCAGATCCGAGCGAACCAATTAAACTTGTAATAATGCAATGACTTAACAAATCAAATCGAATAAAATTAAAAGAATATCTTGTCCAAAAACAAAGAAACACTTAAGAAACATTTACTTACAACCATGTGAAACGTTAAATTGTTGAAAACAATTAAAAGCTAGATTTTAAAACAATATCAGTAATAAATGAAATAGCAAAAAAAAAAAACAAAGTAAACGCAACCATTTATTACAAATAATTACTGTTGTTACAAATTATACAAAAAAAGAAAATCTAAAAAAATGAAAAATAAACAATTTCAATAATAATCGAATAAAAAACTTCCCCCGCCCTAACAACAACAATAAATATATATACACCATATAGATATATATACTTACAAAGAGAATTCAAAGAAATAATATATTGCGATTGAGATGGAGTTATTCTCATTAATTATTATACATATGTAAAATTAAATAACACAAAATAATAAATAAATCAATAAATATATTTAAAATGTATGGAAAATTAATCAATTCTAAGATGTGTTTATATTAATGATCTTTTCTGTAGATTTTCCAAGGTGCGTGTCGCAGAACTAGCCAGAAAAAAATATTGTTGGGTCAGATACCTGCGTACTAAGAATTTTTTAATTACAAATGTACTGTGTGCAAGGGTAAATGTTTTATGGAAATTCATAAAACTTTATGATACTGGAAATCGCAGTATTGAATCCCTTAACCAATCTCAAAATGTTCCTGGAAATCTCAATATTCATTAAAATTCATCCCCATGAGTAAAGTTTATATAAATATATTTATTTATTTCGTTGTTTTTCGCTCGTTTTTATATTGCTTCACAATAATTGACTAGAGTAAACAGCTTAGGATTACGCGGATGGGATACCTGGGTGACACACCCACCCCGTACTTCGGATGTGATCAACCCCTAGGTTCCCTCCCGTTTTACTTGCCGTGAGATCGCAGCAAAGTGACTAGAATGAGGGGCGGAGGCCCGGCTCCCTCGGCTCTCGATTAGGCATGCAGCAGGCCATCGCTCTGGCCGACCAGCTTGCCGAGGAGCGTCTGGTACAGCGGCGACTCGGTGGGGATGCCCTCGCTCTGCAGGAACAGAAGAGTCTCACGGGCGCACATGGCGAAACCAAGAGCCTCGGCCTGGCTGCGCTGGCCAGGAGTAGGAGTGGATGGTGCAAATTGGGCAGCAACTTCGGCGTCCAGGTTTTCATCGTCTACGCTCTCTTCTTCCTGGTCCTCCTCCTCCTCCTCCTCCTCCTGATCAGCCTCTGCTGCTTGGTAGCCATCGCGCTCATCCAAGTCCTGCTCGAAGGCATCCAGCTCCGACTGCAGCTCCATGATCTTTTGCAGTGCCTCGAGCAGAATTCTGTTGGGTGAATCTTCCTCGGAGCCTTCGGATGACTGCTCGGCGGGTGGGGTCAGAGGTCGGTGGCGCTTCTCCGGAGCTCCTTGCTCCTCCATCTCTTCCTGATTTTGCAGATTCTGCTGCTGCTGCTGCTGCTGCTGCTGTGGCTGCTCCTCCGGCTGCTGCTCCTGCTGGCTCCTGCTCGGCTGATCCGCACGCTTGCGCTTCATAATCAGCTTGCCCGACATGGCTGATGGATACTCTAGTTCTGGGTTACGTTCTGGGATAGGGTTTGGAATGGGATGCGACTGTCCGCGGCACAACCTTCGTTAACCTGGCGATCGCAACGACTGACAACAACTGCTCCGATCCGAATGCACCCCGGCAACCAACTGGCAACTGGCAACTGGCAAGGGGCAACTCCAACCCCAAGTGCCACAGGAACCAGAGATAGCATAGCGGAGTGGCAGGGCGGCGCGGTGGCATTAGGGGATGTGCCGACGACCCAAAGAAATTAAAAGCAAATCCCAACAACAACAGGACGAAAAAAATTGTTGCAGCTGTTTGAATTGCTGCCACTGCCACAGCGGCAGCTGAAGCGGGAAGGCAACAGGATACAGATAGAGGCAAGGAGCAGCCGCTGGAGCAGGAGCAGGATATTGCAACAACCCCTGGCAAGCTGCTGCTCTCTGGCTGCAGCCGCCACAGCAGCAGCAGCAGCAGCGCAGTGGCAACAGCTTGGCTCTCGCTTCCTCTGCTTCTACCACCACCATTCGATGTCCTGTCCTGCAGTCCCCCCTCTCCTACCTTTCCGTTGCCCTTTCCCTTTCCGTTTGGCTGTTGTTGTCTCGTGGCTGTTCATCCTGCAACGAAGAGATCCCTATAGTTCGGCTAGAGGTACTGCTGATGCCTACGCTTAAGGGAGATTTCTGGCACACCAATTTCTAGCCTTTTTTAAACATATGGCCATAAAATGATTATGATGTATATTTTGTATTGCTGTAGGGTATTCCCTGCTTCGGGTATGGCTGGTTCGGTTTGGGCATTTGCAGCTGGCACGCTTCACATTCATCTCTTCGATTTTCGTTGCGCCCGAGGACTGCGCCGATGCCGACGATTCGTGTGTGTTTGACCTGCCATTGCAATGATAAGTGCACACACCCATACCTATGTGAGTGCACTGAGAGAAACTAGGGGTAACAACACCTAGGGGCAGGATGGGATTTGCAGTTGCCATGGTAATCAAATATCAATCAACTCTTGTTTACGTCTGTCAACCAACGAAAGTTTTAAATGATTTTTGTTTTATGAGCATTCTATTTATTATATTGGGAGTATTAAGTGAACAAAACAACCAAGTATAGTGGGTCTAACCATGTACTGATAATATTTGAAACAAACCCAGTTTTTATTTCTTGTCATAATCTTGACCATTTTCAGCCTGTATTTCCCCCCTCAATCAGTTAGAATTTATGGCCAAGGAAATATGTCGATTGATATGCGATTGATCTGTGACATACATTTGAACATTCTTTTACAATTTATTTGGTGTTGTCACCATTTCGTAGAAGATTGTCTTCTATCATGCACAAAGGCATGACTGATGCGATAAACTCATCTTAGGCAAGTTTTCATCAAGGAGAGTTTTAATGAATGGTTGGGTACTAATTGCTAAATGTATTATTGCATCTTGGCTTATAGTTGTTGGGTAGTTGTAGTCTGTACTCGCATGTATTATCCCAAAATCAATATCACTATCAATATCAATCCTATCTCGTTCATTGAATTAATCAGTGACTCAGTAAGTATATAAGATATCATTTAGTTTATAATCAATCTGCCTATAGTCACATGTCTAAATGTACATGTACATACTCATGTGTTGTGCCTGCCATCCACAATAGCCTCCATATATTATATTATCTTTTTATCATCTCGCACTTGACATTGTGTAATATTTCATGTTGTTGCTTTCCCTTCCTTGGTTGCTCTGCTTCGACACTCTCGATTACGTGGTAAACTCTACTAAGCATTTTTTGTGTTATTTTTTGCTTAGTTCTGCGTGTATATTTAAACGACAGCGAGGGCAGTACCTACATAATATTCCCCAAAGTAATTTAGGCCCATCCAGCTCTGAACGACGAGTGCCAACCCCCAACCACAGAGACCAAATACATCATCAAGGGGCACAGCTGTTGACTGACTGCCAGCTCGGATGTGGGGGCACATGTACATAAGTTTGTACCTAAATACTCGTATTGTATGTGGACACATGTGATTGAACAGTTTGAAAGATCGCGCGGCATCGGCAAGTGGCAGCAGATAATTGAGGTAAGATCGAGAGAGCGTGCGGCGCACTCACTCGCGTCCAATTGAATGATCATCACATAAGCGCAAAAAATAAACGCAGCAATTATAATCATTTTAATCGGCCTCCTACTGAAAGACACTTTCTGCCAGCAGACACATAAATCTTTCAAATCTTTGCTTTGAAGTTTGAATCTATTGGATTTGTACTTGTTGTGGGTTACCATGCCACCCGAATGGTTCATAAATCAATGGAGAGCACGAACAAGGCGCAGCTTTGTTATCAATGGAATTGCTTTTTATTTCACTATACTCACTGTGTGCGAGCATAAAATTCGGCTGCAATGGAATTTGATCATCCTCTGCAAATTTTCGCTGATTAAGCGAACTTTTTCGTTTCCAGTGCGAGTTTAGTGCAGCCCCAAATGGAGTCGTCTCTTAGCGTAAAGTTTGGTGCAATAATTCTACGTGGGAACATCAAGATCTACGTATTCAGCGACAAGCACCTGCCTCCTGTTTAATTGGCATTTACTCAGCTGGTATTCGTATATACAGATACAGATATAGATAGTACGAGTATAGGCTGAATAGAGAGACTATCTGTTGGTCCTCTCGATTATCTACCACCAACTAACACCAGCCCATCCGATTAGACACTGAAGAAGCGGGCGATAAGCGCTATTTACAGACACCTCCCCCTGGACAAATAACAACCAGAATATAATAATGCACATGAAAAAAAAAAAAACCAACGTTAATAACAAATAAATAATGACAGTCAGCTCGCTCCGCTGCCAGAGCCACCTACAGACAGAGTCAGAGCCCAGAGCCAGAGTCAGTGCCAGGGCCGAAACGTTATCGCAATCGGCGAAACAGTACATTTTTGGGCTGTCGTTTCTCCGTGCTCTGTTCGGCTATAACGGTTGTGCGATGTGTTGCCGTTTTGGCCAATTTCGGGTCAGTTAGCCCGTGGATCGTGTGACGAGTGCATGTAAGTAGCGTTCAACGGCCAAATCGCGTACGTCCCGCGAGTTGCTGTTTGAGTTGGTTGTGGCGTTGTCTATCGGAAGCAGATTTCGCCTAAGTGTCTCATTAGCCATTAGCCATTAGCCATTAGTCGAGCAGAGAGCCCAAGCGGAGAGCGTTTCGAGCTTCATTTCAAGCCCCAAAATGTTCGATTCTGAGTCGGAATTCGTGCATTGCCATGGAAAGAAAACCAGTTAACCAGTTCATTAAGTGGATGTCGATGGCCCAGCACATTCGCACTGGCAGTCACCGAAAATTTGTCGATCATTTGGATGGAATTGGGTGAATGGGAAGGTGGTGGTGGTGGAGTTCGTTCCGCGTGCTTGATAAGCTGACGATTAGATTTAACTCACTGCAATAAACCATACTATTAATTGACTCGAATTGCGATTTAGGCGCTGCTCGTGATTGATAAATATTTGCGAATAAGTAGGGCCAGTGATAACACATCAAATAAGTTGGTTAGCCGAGCGGAAGGGCTTCGAATGGCGCAGATACAAGACCCTTGAAATGTTATCATTTGGCATTTGATTTACGGTACTTGATTACCCACCCATATCTCTAATCATATATCTATCAGCCTAATCATTCGGGTTACCTTTGCCATTCCAGTGCGAAAATGCCAACTGCCCAGACCATCTTCATTGCCGCCTGTTTGCTGCTGGCCCCAACAGCCCGCTCCACACCGATTGCCCCCAGGAATGCCAATGTGGCCACGGAGATCATTATTCTGCACAACAATGACATGCATGCCCGGTTCGAGCAGACGAACGTGAACAGCGGCACGTGCTCCCAGGAGGATGCCAATACGGACAAGTGCTACGGAGGATTCGCCCGAGTGGCCTACGAGTGAGCAGCAGCAGCTTCTGCAAGGAGTAGCTAATATAATCCACTTCCCTCAGGGTTCGCAAGTACCGCAAGGAGGCAGCGGATGGTGGAACTGCCGTCCTCTATCTGAATGCTGGCGACACTTACACGGGCACTGCCTGGTTCACCATCTTCAAGGATGAGATTGCCAGCGCCTTCCTCAACAAACTGCAGCCAGATGCCATCGTAAGTGGCGATCATCACTCGAACCGCTCAATTCTTAATCTTAATGTGTTCATTTTCCAGTCGCTGGGCAACCACGAGTTCGATCGGAACATTGAGGGTCTGGTGCCGTTCCTGAATGCCGTGGAGTTCCCTGTGCTGGCCTGCAACCTCAATCTGACCAACGAGCCCACCCTGGCTGCCACCAAACAGTTGGCCAACTCCACGATCCTCGAGGCAAATGGCACTAGAATCGGTGTGATTGGCTACCTCACGCCAGACACCAAGATTCTCTCCTTCAAGAACAACGTGGAATACGTAGATGAAATTGTGGCCATTAAGTGAGTTCATCCATTTATATTCTTTTGCGACGAGAATTATTATATCTATTCCACTTTAGTGCTGAGGCAGCGAGGCTCAAGGCTGACGGCATCAAAATCATTATTGCCTTGGGCCATTCGGGCTACCTGAGAGACCAGGAGATAGCCAGGAACTGCCCTGAGGTGGACATTGTCATTGGCGGACACTCGCACACCTTCCTTGACTCCAGCCAGCCCGTGGCCGCTCCCACGGACACTGATCAGGAGGCCGTGCGTGGCCCCTACCCCACCACAGTGGTGCAGGGGAACGGCAAGAAGGTGCCAGTGGTGCAGGCCTATGCCTACACGAAGTATCTGGGCAAGATCCATGTGCAGGTGGGTAACACAGCGATCATCGTCTGCAGCGATACTTGACTCTATGCACTTCCAGTTCGATGCGGAGGGAAATCTGATTGAGTTTGATGGTGCGCCCATACTGCTGAATGCCTCTGTGACCCAGGAACAGGATCTGCTGGATCTGCTGGAGGTGTACCGACCCAACGTGACCGCCGTGGAGAACTCCATTGTGGGCTACACCAAGGTGTATCTCGAGGGCGGTGGCGTCTGTCGGCTGAGGGAGTGCAACTTGGGCAATCTGGTGACCGATGCCATGATTCACGCTCGCGTCCTGGAGGATCAGGGTGGCGAATACTGGACAGATGCACCCATTGCCCTGATGCAGGGCGGAGGTAGGTCCAACACAATGCATAACTCCAATGCGACCATTCAAATCGGACTTCTCCCCGCAGGCATTCGTGCTCCGATTGAGAAGGATGCGGCTGGAAATATCACCGGCAGCGATCTCCTTGCCGTGCTGCCCTTCCAGAACGATCTGTTCATCACCAGGGTGACGGGAAAGACCTTGCTGGCGGCACTGGAGCACTCGGCCACTGTGAGGACTCACGATTCGAACGGCGGCTTCCTGCAGATGTCGGGCCTGCAGGTGGAGTACAACTACAACAATGACGAGGGTCATCGCTTGGTGTCCGCGCAGGCGCTCTGCGCCGACTGCATCGTGCCCAAGTACAGCAGGGTCAACGAGAGTGCCCACTACCTTGTGATCGTGCCCCAGTTCCTGCTGGAAGGCGGCGACGGCTACACCCTCACCGAGGAGAGCGATCCCCTCAGCATTCGCATGAAGCGGAACGACATAGAGGTCGTCGCCGATTACCTGATGCAGCGGCACTTCGTCTATCCCGAGATCCAGGATCGTATTATCATACACGAGAAGAGCGAAGATGATTCGGGGGCCAGCATTGTGGCGTCCATCGCCCTCGTTCTGTTCTCTGCCCTGGCCACAAGATTCCTAAACTAAGCAAAAATCCTTCTCTTCGCTTTCTCCCTCCATAGCAAAGCATAAAATATGCAAAATCTTTGCCACTAGCTCAATTTGTGTAGAATCAAATGACGACGTATTTATGCTCTTTTCGTTCGTTTAATTGTGCTTTTAGGGTTTACCCAGGGCATCTAATGTATGTCATTATCCTAGCATAATTGCAAATAAATGTTGTGCAAATCGTCACTTAAATCGACAAATTTACTTGGGTTGCTTGCTGCAATACGCCTAAAGACCTTTTGGTTTATTTGCGGTACAGAAATGCCACCTATTATTAATGAGAGTATTTGTTTGCTTTTTGATCTACTACAAAAACGAACAAAAACGAAAAGCGAACGATAAGATACGACAGCTTCCATTCTGTGCCAGGCAACGTGCTTTTTGCTTGGCTCTCATACACTCTCTTATACACTTCCAAAGAGTACTATAATTTGAGGAGAGGCAGTTGATCCCAGGATAACTATTAGCATTAATCGTTCCAGGAAGAACTTGTCCAGACTTGAAAGTGTATCAAAATCGTCGACACCCGAAGCTACCCAAAGCTTGTCCGTTTATAATTAGCTTTTGTGTTGTGTTGTGGTCAACTTACCCTCACTTTTCATAGGCAAGCATTCGAGTGACAGAGATGGAGACAGACACAGAGAGCGAAAATGCGCCCGCTCTCAGTGCGTAGCCGAAGCTCTTTCGTGGGTGAGCGAGTGATAAGAAGCCTCCAATTGCACCGTTGTTCTGCTTGAGAAAAAGAGGGAGAGAGAGCGAGACACGGAGAAAGTTCGTGGCTGCTCTCCTTATATTGCCGAGACGATCGTCATTAATGGCGTGAACAAGCAAATTTCGATAAAAGTCACAACAAATCAGACCGGCAAACGGCACATGCTGCTATAAGTTTTAGCGCCCGGAATCGCCAGACCGTGCTCGGGATGGGTAGCTGGCTCAGTGCGATTGTAGACACTGGTGGCAAAGGTTGTATTCATTTTTCGATCGCGTATTAACATGCTATTATTGTTAAGTGAATGGCACATCAATGGCGGTGTTCATGAATTCCTGACCAACGCTTACACAACTTGGTAGAACTAATTGTCCGTGCAATTCACGTGGATATCAAAGTTATATAAAAGAAATCACCGTACTGATCAGATTTGTATAGTTTGTGGGCACTAAATAGAAAATGAACCATCCTCTAGATCTTTCAAATGATCGATAAGCAGAACTCATCGTGGTCCTTGTGGAACACTTTGATTCCTTAGTGCTTAGAACCTCCAAAGTCTTGGCCCAGAAACATATTCGAACATCCCGTTTCATAAGGTGATCCCTGAGCATATTACTACCTGCTTCCACATTATCTAATATAATTCTAAACACCTGTTAAACCGCAAGCTGGAACATTTTCAGCTTTGATTGATGCCGCCAGCAGCTGAATCTCCGTGTATGTCAAAAGTCGAGCTATAAGTCTGTGTGTATGCGTGCTCCCGTCTAGTAGCAGCAAGTGAGATTATATCAAGTGATGGCATTAAGTGGTCTACATAAGAACATATTTGTATTGAAGTAAAATGCCCTCTGCGCCTGCACCCATTCACAGCCCAAAAGCGGGTCTCCAGCTCAAGCTGTGCACACACAATTCCCATATATAATTCTACATTTTTTATATTTATTTAATTTGCAACTGTGTTGAGGCATGTGCAAAGGTTTTGTTTGTGCAAAAATCTCCGATGATTTATGGATTTCGCCATAGTTTTATTTACATTGCGAACACTCTGTTGAAATATGGTTTGTTTTCCATTGCCCAATTGATTGGCCTCTTTTGTATACATTTCCATGAAAGCATCGCGCCTCAGACTGATTGAGAATTATTTTTTGCTGAGTATCGATCAAGGAGATGAGATCACAAATAGATGCGGTCTTTTAATTGCCTGACCGCAATATTTTGTGGGCCACTGTCCCGCCCAAAAAAAAGTCATTGGCACTCTCACTTGCGCGCGATCCAAAAGATTTATGGTTTTTGCTGAGCACGCAAATTAATTAGGTTCAAAGTGGCGTTGCGGAATTCACTTTAATTATTTGATCGCCCTTTTGCTAACTTGTTTTGGGTTTTGAATTTCGGTGTCCGTTGTGACATATGTTACATGGTACATGGGCAGGGAGAACAGATCGAATATGGGGATCCCACACACAATATTTATCACTCGAGTGAGCGGCTGCTACAGAAAGATACATTTAACTATAATTAGGCACTAGAAGCAACTAGAAGTGGGGCATGGAGTGTCTGTCGTTTGTCACTTACACATTTTCTATATTTATTAAAAATATGCGGACAGTGCGGACAGTGCGGACAGTGACTCTCCCAGACGTACAGATAATGAGCATAAAGATTTTTACTACATGGCTACCATAAACACGAAATTGTTGATTACACAAATATAAATGTAGATAGAAGGAACCATTAGCAAATGTTTATGGATGCGTTACAATAACGAAGTTCCACCGCAGCTCAACGATGTACCTACACTGGGTTTACGGCATCCTAGTCACCATTCTGCTGGCTCACCATTCCCAAGGGAATCCCATTGAACGCAAGTCGAATGTGGCCACAGAGTTTATTATTCTGCACAACAATGACATGCATGCCCGGTTCGAGCAGACGAACGTGAACAGCGGCACGTGCTCCCAGGAGGATGCCAATACGGACAAGTGCTACGGAGGCTTCGCCCGAGTTGCCTACGAGTGAGTCTACGAGTTTCCGGAAGGAAAAACTAATATAATCCACTTCCCTTAGGGTTCGCAAGTATCGCAAGGAGGCAGCGGATAGTGGAACTCCCGTGTTTTATCTGAATGCCGGCGACACTTACACGGGCACTGCCTGGTTCACCATCTTCAAGGACAAGATCGCCAGCGCCTTCCTCAACAAACTGCAGCCAGATGCCATCGTAAGTGGAGATGATCTCTGGATCCGCTCAATTCTTAATCTTGGTTTGTTAATTTTCCAGTCGCTGGGCAACCACGAGTTCGATGAGAAAGTCGAGGGGCTAATACCATTCCTGAACGAGGTCAACTTCCCGGTGGTGACCTGCAATCTGGATCTGAGGAATGTGCCCGAGTTGGCTGCCACCAAGCATTTGGTTCCCTCCACCATCCTGGAGACCCAGGGCGCCAGGATCGGAGTGATTGGCTACTTGACGCCGGATACCAAGCAGCTTACCCTCCAGAGTGAGGTGGAGTTCTACGAGGAAGTGGTTTCCATCAAGTGAGTGTTAATATTGGATTACTTTTGTAATCCGTAATTGTGTCCCACCCGTGACAGTGCTGAAGCGGAGAAGCTGAAGGCGCAGGGCATCAATATAATCATTGCCCTGGGCCATTCTGGCTATCTGAAGGACCAGGAGATAGCCAAGAACTGCCCGGAGGTGGATATCGTGATTGGCGGCCACACAAACACGTTCCTCTACAACGGAGCCCAGCCAGATGTGGAACACATCGACGGTCCCTATCCCATGGTGATTAAGCAGAAGAGCGGCAAGGAGGTGCCTGTGGTGCAGGCCTATGCCTACACCAAGTATCTGGGCAAGATCCATGTGCAGGTGGGTGTCACAACAAAGATAATCTGCAGACCCATTAACTCCCTCTATGCACTTCAAGTTCGATGCGGAGGGAAATCTGATTGAGTTTGATGGCTCGCCTATCCTGCTGAATGCCTCGGTGAGCCAGGAACAGGATCTGCTGGACCTGCTGGAGGTGTACCGACCCAGTGTGATACAGCTGGAGAAGTCGGTGGTGGGCCACACCAAGGTCCATCTCGAGGGACGCAAGGAGGTGTGCCGCGACAGGGAGTGCAACCTGGGGAACATGCTCACCGATGCGATGGTCTTCAGTCGGGTGCGCGAGGAGCAGGGTGGCGACTACTGGACAGATGCTGCTATCGCTCTTATGGTGGGAGGCGGTTCGTAGTGTCTGCCAATGCTCCATGTGATCCATAATTGACTTCTTTTGATCTTCAGGCATACGCAGCTCGATCGAGAAGAGGTCAGATGGCTCCATCACCGACAGCGACATACTGGCCGTTCTGCCCTGGGGCAATAACCTCTACATGACCCGAGTTACCGGCAGGACGCTACGCAATGCCCTTGAGCACGGTGCGGCTGCCCGTGGCAAGGACTCGGACGGACCCTTCTTGCAGGTCTCCGGCATCCACGTGGTCTACAACCCGAGCAAGCCCGAGGGACACCGCGTCGTCTCGGTGCAGGTTCGTTGTGCCGCCTGTCGCGTGCCCAGCTACAGCGACCTGGACGACGCAGCCTTCTACAATGTGATTGTGCAGGAGTTTATGTTCGATGGCGGCGATGGCCATGTCATCCACGAGGCCCACAACCCACAGCACCAGCGTCTGCAAAGGAACGACTATGAGGCAGTGCGAGAGTATCTGCGGGAGCGCGACTACGTCTATCCCGAGGTCGAAGGTCGCATTATATTCAAGAGCGCGGCGAGTGGCCTCCTTGCCTCCGTGTGTCTGCTGCTGTTCTCCTCCTTGGTGATGCGGGTCCTAAGCTAAGCTTTGACTATTAAAGTTTTATAAATCAGCAGAAAATGAGCTGCACCAAGTGCTGGTTGGGGCACATGCTCATCTTTTGATGGTCCAACGAAAACTAATAAAATATCGAACGATTTTTGGTCATCAAATCTGATCATTAAATAAGCTTCTATGCACTAAAGCGGTTAATTCTGACAAGCACTTGTACATATAAAATACAGGATCACAATGAGCGCTGGTCCTGCTCATCTGCTGATCCCACATGATATGGTTGCGTGTTGTCCAACGAATATTCTGCACAAAATGTTGCCAGCCCAAAAGTAGGCAATGATTTAGCATGCAAAATGCAGACACCAAAAATGTAGATGTAGATAATGTAGAGCGAAAATACATAAGCCACAAGATAAATATACAAATTGTACGTACATCTGATAGCAAACGCAGTCTAGTTGTTTTTTGTTTTCCATTCAATCAATCTGTTGCGTAATGAATCTGAATCCAAGCTTCGAGTGCTTGCTCTTGGGCTTGCTGCTTCTGTTTCTGCTGCGAGAAGTCTGCGGCATCAAGTTTACGCTGCTCCACACGAACGACATGCACTCGTGGTTCGATCCGCGGTCGGAGAGCGGTGGCAAGTGCCTGAAGGCTGAAGATGATCGGGGACACTGCTTCG